CCACGAAACCTGCGAAATTAAATACCCCACGGAATTTTATACCCATATGGTATTTAGATAATTATGAGTATACATTAATGGGCTTGGCCCAGTTCCTAGAGTATACATGACCTTGTATACATGGTTATGCATGGTTATACGCATATATGAAGTAACATTTGGTTTCAATCAATTATAATTATAATACTGATAAACAAGTAGATTTAACTAAAGTGTAATGGTAAAAGACGAACATTTCCAAAAATTAATATTCCACTAGATTCATGATAAGACTTTAAAGTTTATTTCATGTTGTTTTATTTTTAGAATAGACTAAGTAACAACCAATAATGAGATGAGGCATAATTATATATAATAATTCTGTTTACTAACAGAAAGTAGGTTTGAGATGAATAATTTTAAGAATAATAGGGGCTTCATTTCATGTGGCATAATGCTAGAATAATAGGATAAACTGGGCAAAAAGGTGGGATAATTGGATTAAATTAAGTTTCATTGTTGTTGCAATAATATATAAAAAAAACTACAATTTTTGCATTCACCGCCATGTACTTTTTGTTTAATGCAAACTAAATTAATTTATTTCAGAGAGTAAAATGGGATTAATAGAATATACAAAGAATAATGGGGAGAAAGATTAAGAATTTCTAAAGAAAACAATGGGAAATTTTGGAAGCATGATTAACTCAGGCCTAACGGAAAGCTACTATAGATCTCCTGTTAGGTATTGGTCTAACCATTGGATATATACACAATTCAACTAAGATGTGGTTGTATGTATCCCGTAACACAAAACAGCTGTAATTTGTCTGGTTTGTACTATAATGTGTTCATGTATGAAACGCTCAGCAGCTCAGCCACTGTAGTTATAACTACCAGTATTGGTAGTTAGATGACATTTTTAACTACCCCTCCTGTGGTCTCCATTATATAAACTTGTGGTGGTGCCTTTGATGCACCCACACACTATACTACAATTCCTTTTGTACTCAAATGGTTAGACCAATATCTGACAGATCTATAATCTTCTGTTAGTAAACAGAATTATTCATTCTCATTAATTGTTATAAAAAAGTAAATACAACAACAACATGAAATAAATTTTTGTGTCTTATCATGAATCTAGTGGAATATATATAAATTTTTGAGAATATTAATTTTGTCTTTTACTATTACACTTTAGTTAGATTTACTTGTTCATCTGTATTATAATTATAATTCATTGAAACCAAATGTTACCTCACATACATCATGTATACCCATGCATGATTATTGCCCTCGC